TCTAGTCAGTCAAATTTAGTGACATTAGAGGCATTAAATCTGTGGTTTTGCTAAAACTGTCCACAACGACATACCTTCATAAAACGAAGTGCAACTTTCAATTGAAGATAATTTCAAAATATTTCCTCATGCAACTTTTAACCCATTGAAAGATCTTTCAAATGGCTATGGTTTGGCCGAAAATGGACGTCGTTTGGTTAGTTAAAATCGATGAGCACAATGGTATTAATGACAAATCCAGATAAGCAGTCCACAGTGATATACCCTCTCATTTCAAAATATAACTTCATTTTTGTAAAGAATTTCAACAGTAGGCAAAAACAAACATTTTACTAGGCTCGTGTACCTTTCCAACGGTGGCCGTTTGAGGTCAATCGGGCTTCATTTGACAGTCCAAAAGTTTTAATCAAGAACACACATATTCCTACAATTTCATGATTTCACTTAATGTGTCAAGAATGCATTCCATAACCATCATTTCATAATGAAGAACATGATAACATCCATTTTCTCACAATGTGAACACACATAACATGCATTTCTTACATAATCTAAGAATCACAACTCCATTCTTACATTCATCATTATCATAGAATAAAAACCCCCAAATTTCCATTGAAAAACATGTATGTTTTTCTACATCACATACTCTTTTATTGCTCATTCACATGCCTAGGTTTCCATACATTCCCATGACTCCAATACAAGGGTAATGTATCCACTTACCTAATTAACAATGAGGCCTTCTCCAACCTTTGCTCACAGCTCTCACCCGCCCGACAAGGGCTACTCACAAAGTCACTTCTTCCACTTTGTGTCTTAGAGAGAGAGAGAGAAAGCGAGAGAGAGAGAGAGAGAAGGTAAAATAGGTAGGGGTTTGGGTGAGAAAAAGGGGCTTAAGTACTCTCATGTTTGGGGTGGCTGGCCAAGTGTCACCAAGGAGGCTCAAAATCTAGACAAGTGGCACCCACATCAGTATGTATTAAACAAGTGTCACCTCCAACTCATGCATGTCAGAGACACAGCCGGTGCTGAGCTCTCTACTCAGCCAGTGCTAGTATACTTCCCCTCCTTCCAGCCGGTGCTGCACTTCTTCTCCTTCACAGTCGACGCTGGACAACCCAAACGGCGCTGGGCAACTCAATCGGCGCTGGCCTCCTTCTCCAACACAACCGGCGCTGGCCTCCTTCTCCAACACCACCGATGCTGACCTCCTTCTCCAACACAATTGACGCTGGCCTCTTACTCCAACACAATCGACGTTGGCCTCCTTCTCCAACACAACCGGCGCTGACCTCCTTCTCCAACACAACCGGCGCTGGCCTCCTTCTCCAACACAACCGGTGCTGGCCTCTTACTTCCCTATCCCGCCATGCCTTTTAACTGGCCAGGAAAAGTTTGGGTTGTCACAGTTGGAATGGCGGTGGCGAACTTTGACCTTTCATAGAAAGCAACTTGATCTATCATATGTTGAATTGAGAAAGGTCGCAACCCGTGACTTAAGAAATTCATATACTCTGGTAGGGAATTCTCCAAGTACATGCTCATCTAAGAGGTCTCGGGAAGTGCACAATCAATGACCTTTGATGCAGATTCTCGAAATCGATTAGCAAAGTCAGGGAACGACTCACCAACGTTTTGTTTGGTGGCATCCAACTCCCTGAGGGTCATTGGTTGTTGCTTGGTCCCTTGATATCGTTCAATGAATCGCCGAAACAATTCATGTCACACCCCAAATGATACTAACATTCTTGAGGTGTGACAGTCTTTTCTTAAAGTATAAATAGAACAAATTCAGAATTTCTACTATATATTTCATCAAAACTGATTTTTTTCCATTCAAAAATTTTCAAACTTGTACAAAGTCTACTCACAACTTATATTAACATGAAGATCCATATGTATACAGTTTTAGTAGAACAAAAGGTACAAAGGTGAATATAACCATGACTACAAACTTTTTCCAAGCTACTCCTGTTGTACATATGAATAATAAGGCAACAATTACTCTAAAAAAAATTCACAATAGTTTGATGAGTTTGACTACTACCATTATGATCATTAAAAATCATGGTTAGAAAATGTAAATATTTTCTAAGGGGTCGTTTTGATACCTGAAATATATTGTCTGTGAAATATATTGTTGTTATAATACATTACCTATGAAATATATTGTTGTTATAATACATTACCTACAAATGGATTGTTACTGTTTGGATAGTATTTAGATGTAACCTGAGAAATACATTGCTACTGTTTGGCTATGTCTGGAATAAATATGGGAAATGCATTACGAACATTTTACTAGCACTTGCCTATAAAATATCATTTCTTTATTTTTTGTTACAAAATTTTGCTGAAATGCGGAATTAAAGCCATCATCACACCATTCCAAAAAGATATTCTAATAATAACATCACCACCATTTTAGAGAGAGAGAGAGAGAGAGAGAGAGATAAATAAATAAAGGTATTAATAGTCACCATTCCAAAGATAGAGAGAGTGCAAAGTATTGATCTTAATCATCACCATTTTAAAGAGAGAATGATAACGTGAAATAAATTGTCATTGTTCCAACAAGATTTACTAATGTTATCATTGATATAGAAACTGATAATGAAGTTCATCATCCACCAAAAGAAAGAGAGATAATGCATGTGTGTGTGTTAGAAAGTAAGTATAACAATTCGATAACAAAAATTCCCAAGTTTAAAAACTATCTTGTTCAAATAAAAAGAGAGAGGAACCCAAATTAAAAAAGTGTGGATTTCACTCCACTTTACATGTTACTACCTTCTTGAAAATACTTTACATGCCACTACCTTCTTGAAAATACTTCAAGTTAATCCAAAACACTATGTTTTCTTCAGTCATTTCTAAGAATACCTCACTAATATTTACGGCTGTTATTATTTCATTATATGCTCGCATGAAGATGGTAGAGCTCTGTAGACCTCTCGCATATGTGGGTTTGCTATTGGTTTCCTCAACTCTACAATTGCAACCCCAATTTCTTTCACGGCTACACCTATTGACTCCACAAGATCAACTATGGTTTTCTTTTTCTTCTTTGATGGCATAATCGATGTTGATTTCTCGAATGGATTGATGGTCATTCCATTCGTCCTTGATTGGGCTGGTATCTCTGGGAAGTCCTCATCACCTATTTGCTCAATACCATTATCATCATCATCTAAGCCTTCAATCGTCTCTCGAACATCCTCAACACCATCATCAATGTCCCTCTTTAGTTGTGTTGTTGTCATGGTACCAGCACCCTCGGCAAAATCATTATTGACAATTATGCTCAGCTCCTTCCAATATTCAAAGGACTTCCTTTTGAAGTTATTTGCAAGCAAATTAGATTGCACGATTAAAATTATATGCATTAATTTAAATAATTAATTTACATTTTTTCAAAATAATAAAAAAATACATAGATAAGAAACACACACATACCATTACACAGACATCTCATAAAGATTCATCGATAATGGCCATATGTGATTCTTCATCCATAATGGTCATATGTCATCCCATAAAGAATTACATATGGCCATTATCGATGAATCTTTATGAGATGACTATGTAATGGTATATGTGTGTTTCTCATCTATCTACTTTTTTATTATTTTGAAAAATATAAATTAATTATTTAAGTTAATGCATATTATTTTAATCGTGTAGTCGAATTTGCTTGCAAAGAACTTCAAAGGGAAGTTCTTTGAATGCTAGAAGGAGCTGAACATAATTGTCTGCAATGATTTTGCCGAGGGTGTTAGTGCCAGGACAACAACACAACTCGAGAGGGACATTGATGATGGTGTTGAAGATGTTTGAGAGACGATTGTAGGCTTAGATGATGATGAGGACTTCCCAAAGACACCGACCCAATCAAGAACGAATGGAATGACCACCAATCCATTCGAGAAATTAACATCGGTTATGCCATCGAGGAAGAAAAAGAAAGCCATGGTTGATACTGTGGAGTCAATAGGTGTAGCCGTGAAAGAAATTGGTGCTGCAATTGTAGAGTTGAGGAAACCAGCAGTAAACCCACATATACGAGAGGTCTACAGAGCTCTTAAACAGGTTCGCGACATTACTTGACCCGTCTTCATGCGAGTATATAATGAAATGATGACATAGTAAATATTAGTGAGGGATTCTTAGAAATGATTGAAGAGGACCGAGTGTTTTGGATTAACTCGAAGTGTTTTCAAGAAGGTCGTGGCATATCAAGTAGAGTGAAATCCATACTTTTTTAATTTGGGTTCCTCTCTCTCTTTATTTGACCGTGAAGGTTTTTGAACTTGGGAATTTTGGTTATTGAATTGCTATACCTACTCTCTACCACTCGCACATACATTATCTCTTTCTCTTTGATGGATGATGATGAATTTCTCTATAAATTTTTATATTGATAATAACATTAGTATATCTTGTTGGAACAATGATAAGTTTATTTCACGTTCTCATTCTCTCTTTAAAATAGTGATAATTAAGATTAATATTTTGCACTCTCTTTATCTTTAGAGTAGTGATTATTAATACCTTTATTTTTCTCTCTCTTTAAAATAGTGATGATGTTATTATTAGAAAATCTTTTTGAAATTGTGTGATGATGACTTTAATTCTGCAATTCAACTGAATTTTATAACAAAAAAAAAAGAAATAGTAGTTTATAGGCAAATGCAAGTAAAATGTTGGTAATGTAATTCCCATATTTCTTACCGACATAACCAAAGAGTTCCTAAGTTGCATCTAAATACTATCTAAATAGTAACAATCCATTTACAGAACATGAATTAGGTCAGTAATATATTTCACAAAAAAAATAAAAAAATATTTCCGGATATCCAAAAAAACCCGTAGGGTTTTCAATGCTTGAACAGCGATTTTCGTTGAGTTATGACGTAGTTCGATAGGGCGGCAGCTCTACCAAACTATTTTGCTTTATTAATCGGTGGTCATTACTAACCCCTATAAATAAGCAATCGCTTGGGGATTTTTGGGCAGTACGCTCATTCGCTGTTGAAAGTAGCAGAGCCGGGAACAAGGGTTTCGTAGCGGAGCAAGGACTTAGGGTTCCGTGGAAGGTAAGCCATGATTTACGACGTGAATTCCCCCCTCTTCAGGTCCTTTCTCAGCCAGAAAGGTGGCGCCTCTGATAGAAGGTACACATATTTCATCACATTTTTTTGTGACTCGAGCTTTTGTTTAGATCGATAATTATGGAAAAAGTTATAAAGCGGTTCCTTTCTTTATATGTTTCTGAAGTTTTTGCTATGGCTACCTTTGTTTTTCTTTTGGGGAGAAAAGGCCTTGAAACAGTAGAAGTCGTTGGATTTTGATGGTCCTCTGGTGGTCCAAGTTTCGGTACTTTCATTATTTAAGCTGATTAATTTGTGATCATCACTCTTGGTTAGAGTGGAAATGGATGATTATTTTCTTTTGCATAAGTAAAAAATTAGCTCTGAATATTTTGATGCATTGCTTGCTTAAATTTCCATGGCTATGAAACTGTTTATTGTTGTATTGTATGTGGGACTCTATGTTTGTGGTTGCTCGGAAGGTTTGAGAATTTCGGTTTTGGGTTATGTTTTTGTTGTGAATAAGTACTCAAAATTCTTCAGAAGATTGATAGCCTTGCAATTTGGCCTGGTTAGAGAGGTAGCGATATCTCTGTCTCTAGATCTCCCTCTGTACTCCTTTGGGAATAATCAGTTGTCTACATTTGAAATTTTTTTATCCTCATTACTGAGGAAAGGCTACTTCTCTCAGCCTGAATTATTGGGGTCGAAAAAGATGTGTTATAATGACGTTTTTATGTCCTTGTATTGGAGATGGCCAAATAACCTTAGATTAAAGACTTGGTCGGTCTCTCTTTCCCTCTCTCTCTTTCATTTTATATATATGCTGGTTGGTGATTTTTATCTCTTTCTCATCTCTGCCAGTCAGTGAGTCATGGAGAGTTCCCCCCCATTAATACTAAGCAGTCAACTTGGAGTTAGTTTTTCTACTGCCAATTTGGCCTATTTTTTATTCTATAGGGCCTTAAGTTTGTCATATCTAGCTTGTGTGGCTTCATAACTAGTAAGGCAGTTGAAATTTGTGACTGATATGGTTGCCTTCTTACGTCTTTTCTGATGACAATTTTGTGCTCAAAAGCATTAGGAATATCTCCTTCTAGGCATATATTCCTCCTGTTTAAGTTTAACATAGTCCCCTAGGTAGCCTGTGCCAACCCTGGAGGGTGGGAGTTTAGAGATGAGACTGGTGTAAATGTATGATGCAACATGCGAGTCATTGTTGTGAGGATGGTTGATATTGCTGTTCCAACGACTACTGAAGTTAATGCCCTTCTCTCTTGCCTTAAGGCGACATTTTAATGATCTGCTCATCTTTGTAGACTGCCATATTGGATGATGGACTTTCTAGCCTTATCAGTTGTTGGGAACGATTTCCTGTTTATGGGCTGAGGTTTATTTCTCTTCACATATATGTCAATGTTTGTCAGCACCTTTGGGTACAACTTATGTATGCACTTCTCTTCACTATATTTTTAGTTTTGTAGAAATACACTCTTAATAATAGGACAATGAATGGTCTAAAATGATACCTTGTTTTGCATTGTGTAGTTGTGCTCTAAAGATTAAAAAATACCTTTTCTAACATGGCACTCAATCACAAAGCGTGAAACTAAACCATATATCAGGCAATCTGTGGAGCTCTGCCTTGTCCTTTATGTACCATCCCATGCTGCTCTTTGTTTTGTCTCCTGTAGTGGCATTATACTGGTAGATTATGTACATGTGGCCGACATTACACATTAATGCACGTTGTCTATGTTTAAGGGCTCTGGGCCTCCACAAGTGACACTATTTAGTATCTATGCAGCGAGAGGTCTCCTTACTTAGGCAATCTAGACTGCTGCATGTTATTATTCTTGTGGATTTCAAAGTCATTAGGGAGTTAGGCCCTAGAGATGATCGTATCATTTGAACTATTGCTAACCATCTCTATGCAAGGGTAGAATTGCTGTAAAATTCTCTGCTTTCTGGCCTCCCATAGGCACCTTAGATGTGCTACAAGTTTACCTACTAAAAATTTCTAAACTGAAGGCAGCTTTGGTGGGCCCCAAGGCATCCACCTGGCAATTGTTGTCCCAGACAGGATGTTAGTTGAGGCAGAATTCTTCCCTAGGTGGCCTACTTTGTGGCTTTTAATAACATTTTCCTCCACTAGCTCTGCTAGTTGCTTATTTTAGAGCTAGTAGTGCAACAAACGTGCTTGCATTAGGTGAGGGTAAGTTTATAGCCTATTGCAGAATCAAAACTGTTTCTCTTTCAAGGGATTTGTTCTTGCCTTCTCAAGCTACTACTCTGCAAATCAAAGTATTTCCTTCTTGGCAAGCTTAAAGCTCATTGCTACAACTGAGGTTATGTTCACTTTTTCCTTTGGGCCGCACTAGACAACAGAAGTTGAGGTAATGAATGTAGCCCCCTCTGCAATTTTGTCTGCGGCATATGATATGTATGCAAATGTTGAGCCTGCATTAAATATTTCTAATGCTCGCATGCTTGTGTGTACTTTGATGTTCCAGTTTTATCAAAGAAGATTGTTATCTTGTGAAAACAAAAAGCGACGAGCTAAGCCCTGATTACAACTTCGATGAGCTACCTTTGAGCACCAATTGGTTGCTAAGATTTTTATGCATCAAAATGCTCCTGATGAAGGCTTTATTTATTTCCTCCAAATAGGGCTTGCATCTCCTAGAAAATCTAGTCAATTGCGCCTTGTTTTAAATTTTGTAGACAAGCTAATGTTGTGCTTGGAAATGTTTTGAAACAACATTACAGGGCATGACACTTTTATAAGGCGGTCACTGCTCTTTTTTTAGGAGCATTTCGAAGGCTTTGAGTAGCTGCTTGGCATAATGTAAAATGCTGCAAATAAGGAGTGTCTTACATTATGTTGCAAAGGATGGACATCCCTTTTTCTTTAAACCGTATAGTGCTAAGAAAAGGCTATCGGGCACCTAAGATAATTTTAAAAGTCAAAAAGGCAATACATGGAACAAGCGTTTCAAACGAGACTTTAGCTTGTGGAATAACCAATTCAAATGAAGCTTACTATTTTATTTAATAATTAGTTATCCATTTGAATGCCTTTTTCACTGTTTAAATTCTATCTGGCACCTAAATGCATTTTGGCAGCACTGCGTAGCAATGTTGAAAAAGGCGGATTAGTCAACTCCCTAAAGTGTGATGTGGTGGGGTTTTCTTTTTGTCTTTTATTTTTTTGTGGGGGGGTGGGGACTTTTAATAAGTGTATGTGTGTACATATATATATATATATATATGTACTCTGTGCGTGTATGCGTGCGAGAGAGAGAGAGAGAGCTTATGGGTCGATGCGTGAGGCTCTCATTGAATGCATGGAGGTCATCTTCCTTTTTGGCTTCTTCTTCCTCTTCTTCTACTTGTGTATGTGAGAGAGAGGCCTCGGAGCAAATGCTTGGAGGTTGTCTTGTTTTTTTTTTTTGATGGAGCGAGGGAGGTGCAAGAGAGACCAATGACACAAAAGGCACTAGAAAGTGAAAAGGTAGAGAAAACATGGTTTTCGTTCTTGTCATTGTTAGCATTAGGGGGAAGAGAAGCAGGTGCCATCGTCAGGGATGGTAGAATTTTTCAATCGCTCTTCACAAAGAAACCCCAAAATTCCAGGTGGTCTAAGTTTCCAAAAGCCCTATGATGTTTTAGTGCAAGCTATGCGATAATTTTTAAACGCCACCATATATCATTTTCTGCTTTTACCCCAAAAGAGAGTATTTGTTACAAAATAAATAATTGGTGATTTTTCATTTTTGGGTATTAGTTTGTTGCTACCCTGGCCTCAGTAGTTAGCCAGCCTATACATGGCATACACTTGGAGGAATGATTCAGTCCATTGAATGTTACTTACCATAGTGATATCTTAATGCACACAAAGCCATGTTTGTCTAACCTTTAGACTTGTATTCAAAAGTGGTCCTTTCAATGTGTCTCTCCTCTCGGTGGTCCTTAATTTGAAAAATGAGGGATTATAAAGGTCACTGAGTATTTGTAGACTTCGAGCCCTCCAAATTTGATGTTGAGCTGAAATTGTATTCTTTCCTCCAATGGGGAATGCTTTCCCTTGCTCTCACTGACTTCGGTTTTAGAAAGAAGAGAAAATAGATATATCAAGCTGCACCATAGTGCAAACAAACATCGACATGTGCATGAGAAGACTCGGAAAAAGTAAGAGAAGGAATGTGGTTAGCCCCCACGGCAAGAGAATATCTTCTTACAGTTTATCTGGCTATGGAGTCTGCCACTTCATTGGCACTGGTATGAACTCGATTAAAACTATTGTTCTCTCAAAAAAAACTATTGTTCTCATGTTGCAGATCTCATGGTTTTCTCTAGCGTCTATGATTTTCCATGTAGGAGGAAGCCCTATGTGACTAACGAAAAACATTAACAGAGTCTCCTTTGCCAAACTTTGTCTCTGGGAAGAACAAAAAGCCATCTCCCAGACTATTTAGGTGTTTTGTGGCTTCATGGATGTGGTGTTGCTGTGACTTTCAGGCCTTTAGAAGTGAGCAGACTTGTCATCTCAAGGGATTAAAATACCCAACTTGGGAGGGGAGGATGTGGCATTGAATTGGAGTAAGACTATGGGCCATCATCCTATATCCTGAAAGAGATTTAGACTAGACTGATGTGTCCTAGAATTTGTTAGTAATCAAGGCTTTAAGATTTTTCTGAGTCTTTGACCCTCTTGAGACCAGTCTGGAATCTAGTGTATCTACCCTAAAAAAGCCTTTAGTGCCTCTTTCAATATACCCTAGAAGACTCCCATGGGAGTAGAATCAGCCAAAGCTTGCCTTGGTCAGAGAACATGCTCAACCTCCCCCTGTGGGGAAGCTTAAGCTCAACTTTGGCAGCTGTTCTCTCAGTAATAACCCCGGTCTCTCAGGTATTGGAGCCATCCTCAGAGACCACCTTGGCACTACTGTGGCAACAGTCTCCGAACACATTGGCCACGCTAATCCCATGGAGGCTGAAGTGTTGGCACTCTTGGAAAGTGTCAAACTCATCCAACCCTTCCACCTACATTTCCTCCTCGTCGAGGGAGATTCCAAGAACAC